ACACACACAGATATATATATATTAAACAGTTAGATGTGTTTTTCATTAGAAAGAAAGAAGAAAATCCATAGTACAGTATCACGAACACGCGTTTTATCAAGATGATCGCAATACCAACAATTAACCTCGTACAACAAGAAAAGAAGAGCTTATACTTTTTTTCCTTTTTATTGCAGTTTTGTCCAGAATAAAAGTTTGGAAGCTAGTAATAAAGGAGAGACAGTGCGGTTTCTTTTCAAGAGGTTAATTGTCGTTACCACAAGTATCTCGATAAAAAGGAAGATATATAGATAAAGCTTTGATAATTCAAAGCAAGCATGAAAGAGAATAAATACTGCGATAATTACATCTAACGACATCGTCGCTTTTATTCGAGTCTTCTTTCGCGCGCGTATCTTTCTATCCATTTCTAAGAAGAGCCATACATATATAGGTCGAAGGTAGCACCGGAAATGGGATACGGGAGAGACCGGTTAATCCCATCCTCGACGGGAGAGGAAACGACTTCCCGCGAATACCAAGGTCAACTACGAAATTTATACGATGCTGTAAAAGTTACTTTTTCGAGATAATGTCTCGCGCATATAGGCTAAATTCATCAAGCAACAGGTCTCTCTCTCTCTCTCTCTCTCTCTTTCCCGTTGTTTGTATTATTAATTGTTACAAAACTATTCCCCCGAGTGGCGAAAGTCGCCTTTTTGTTCGGCCATTAAGGCAAAAGAATTAATCTCTATTATTCCGTCGATGTATGACGATGTTGCGCTTAAATCATCACTGCCGTTCACCTGCGACTTCCCGATTGATAAAAGCGCCGCATAAATTTTCAAAATATGACGATAAAAGCGCAGTTTCGACACGTAATGACATGAAAGTAAATATGACGTACTCGATCATATTTGTTTTCATTTGCTTATGCAATATTTAACAAATTATAATATTCAATTTACTATGTATAACGGCGACCGCGTCACGATTTTTACGATACGGCAAATTTAAATATGACGATCAAATAAGGTGCTAATGTTTTTTTTGTTTTTTTTATCATGTTATTGTACCAAATGACGCTCTACGCTCCGAATAAAAGCGAAAACAGTCGCCTCATAAACGCCTCATAAACGAATGTCGTGCGCGACGAAGACGTTACCAGATATCTCTTTTATTAAATTTTCGAGGCTCGCCCATATCGTTGCACGGCAGATTTACAAGATGCGTCGTCGTAATGTACAACATATTGTGGTTACCCGGCGCAATTCGGTTTATATACCCGATAAACCGCGCCGTGGAAAAGGCATTACGGTCTTGGAAAACAATTCGCGGCGGTCGCGCCGCGATATATATCTATAGATATGTGTATATCGATATCGTGTCGCGATACACTTGCTCAAAGTTTGCACGGCCGGGCCGTAGTAAAAACAAATGACCGATTGGAAAACTATTGAAGAATCATTTGGCTTTGCTCAATAATTAATCCGAGTGAGCGACAAAATGTGCTGTGCATCCAGCGCCATGTATCCGAAGACATTTACACTCGTTTATAAATTTTAATGACTTGCGCCGAGCAATGTAGCCTGGCAATCTCCGTTTTGTGATACCTGAAGTAGCAGCGTGGTGGCGATTCCGGGGCGGAATAGTCGTATGTGCGTACTACTAGAGCGAAACTACTAGTGCGAAAACGTTTGGATTATTCCAAAGTCGGAGCTATCCGTGAATCGCGCTTTATCGAGTATTCTCGATGGGGGGTTTAAGCGAAATTCAGCTGGCGTGTCTTCATCATCGGAAATCGCATCAAATTTCCTACGATCGTATCTATTTCCGTTATCTCTATTTATACCGTTATTGGTATCTACCCCCGTTAATCAGTCACTTTGATTGGCTGATAATTCATGACGTTTTCGACCTCTAATTTTGCCGGCGCTAATTTCATTTTAAGAACGTTCCAATTAGTCTCTCTCTCTCTCTTCTC